AAAACAATACATTCACATCCCAATTTTCCTGACCAGAAACAACCTTTCTCCCTGAGGATATTTTTATTTTTTTCTTTAAAAATACCTGAAGTAGCAATTAAAAAAAAAAAAAAACAGTCGCATCTCTTCTTAAAAGTTTGATCATCAGAGGCTCAAGTAGAAATAAATATTTTTGTTTTCTTTCCCCCTGTGCTCCAGATGAAGCCGACTAGGTTCCTAGCTGCCCATATCAACAGTCCTTTCAATAATTAGTGAAGGACAATTCATCATGAGTTCTGGAATAGGATCCCAGGCAAAATGAACAGGCTCAAGACATAACAGCAGGCTGGACAGAAGTACAGACCGTCTTGTCTTGGACCGAGCAGCCTAACAATCTGACAGTGGAGTTTTCCTTCCAGAGTCTCTTGCTTGCTGAAGGGTTCATACATCCCATCCTCTTTGCATTTTGTGTATCAAACCAATAAAAATATAAACATATAAAAGAAGGGAGAAAGTTCCAAATTCCTTATATTTATCCTTATTTTCTTTCTCCACAAATAAATATCCTCTGCATCAGATGTTTTCCCAACATTCTTACCTTACACAAACCCTAAAAAAAGAAAGAAAAAAAGATCTCACATTGGCTATCTCTTACCTTCTGAGTGAATATTTGCACTCCAACAGGGAACACAGCGAGTGGAACTAGTTCTGTATTTTCTACAAAGTGATTCAGAACAGACTCAGGCTTATGAAACAATTCAGAGATAATTTCACGAAATCTCTTATGTCTGAATCATATGTGTAACTTCCTTCTTTGAACAAATTACAAAAGAATTGTACTAAACTCAGTTCCACCAAGGCTGTGTAGGAGAGCCAAATACATTTCCAGGCTTCATTTCTCTATTGTTACTATTTTAGGACTCTTGAGCCTATGTTGTTAGGGGGTTAAAAATGTGCACAAACATTTCTTTTTATGAAAAATATTAAGGCAGCAAATGTTCCTCAAATATACTAGCCCAAAAGGAGAACAATGTTATAGCTTTTAAAAACAAAAAGGTTTGGTTTTTTTTCAAAACTAAATGTATGGATGGGTATAACCTTCAAATCACCTTCAGAAAGCTTGCTAAAGTAAATCTAATACAGTACTTTGCTAAGTGTGGAACTGAAGCCAATTTTTAAGCATGAGCTTCTTCTTAATAAAGGGACTCTTTAAATTCCCTGCAATATTCTGCAGGGCCTAGACTGAACAATGAATAGTTCCGATGAGATGGACTTTACAATTGTTAGCTATAAGCACTAGGTCTAGCCTAAGTAATTGGCTGTGATTTTGTTTGCTCGCAATGCTCCACAACTTCTGTACCCAGTTGGACGCTTCACAGTTTTTGAGCTAGTTTAGATACGAGGCAAAACAGGCTAATTGTGAAATTAGACATGTGTTGCTTTGCAAACGTCTCTCTGCAGAGTCATCTCACTGCCAATACCCAAGAAGGTGCAACTGAAGCCTGCCCCTGAGCCATGTGCTCTCACTGCAGAATGCGCAGCGCGACAAAGGTTTTCTTATGTTTCAATAAAAGCAGGAAGTCACACACAACCGAGGCACCAATGCTGCATAGACAGCATGTAACACGCTAACCCTGCTATCCTGTTCAGCTCCAGCTCTAAAACTCACCACCCTACAAAGCCAGGGAGTTTGCCTTCTCTTCCTGTATTTGTCCAGGTGAAAACTGAAAACCCTGGTTTTTGCCATATTCACAAGTCATTCCCTCCTCTGTGTCTGTCTGTCTTCCCATCTCCAGCCTGCAATGCCACACTTTCACCTCTGCAAACTAAAGCTCCCCAGGTTAACCCCTTCTTTCGGAGTACTTACTGATTACTTGCTGGGTTGTATTTAACAGAACAGGGACTAGAGAAAGCATATTGTGAAAAGAAGCTGCTCAAATCGCTACTCTCATCCAGCAGTGGTCTCTCAGTCTTGTGCCGCTGTAAACTTTCTAGCTTGAATCACTTTTAAGCAGGATCAGAATAAAGGGGGCATTTTTAACATCCAGAGAGGACACAGGGCAGCAGGAAATCTATGTGGAATACTTCTCTAAATAATCAGCCATTAGAATCCACATGAGGGAAAATGCATCACCTTTTAAAAATGGAAATGACCAACTTCGAGTGGAGGGATCTGTTGGGCAACTTTTTAATTGAAGTTCGTGCAGATGGCCTATCAATCACTTCGGTTAATAAGAAGTACTGATCTGCTAGAGGAGAAGGCAGTTGTTCTCAAACTTACTATAAACCGTATTTCCCGGGGCTTTTCCAATCCCCCTTTCTAAGGAACATCCATTTGACCTTCAGATTTCCGGTCTCGGGTCCTCCTCCGTCCTTCCCCAGATAGAAACGTCTAGCGGGGCCCCCAGGATGTCTTTCCTGCTAACTGACTGCCATGGATGTCGGCCCTTTCCAACCCCCTGCAGTCTGCTCGGTGCGCGAACCCCGCATTGCAGAGGTGGGGGGAGGGATGGGGGGGTTCCAGCCTGGCTCCCAAAAAGTCACTGCAAACAGGTTCCAACTGCATTCACTGGGAGGGGGAGGGGGAGGCCCGGACACCTCCCCC